AACAGGTTGACTTTGTTCTGCAGACAGGAAACCATTTCATCTCGGTTTTCCATTACATTTTGAAGATTCTCAATAATTAAGCAGAGAGACATGATTTTGTTGTCTTTCTCTAGACTTTCCTCCTGCTGCACAGCAATGTGGTCTTTCAGTGCCATGACTACAGCACAATTTACCCCCACATCCTCTGCTGCTTCTTGCTGCTGTCCGTTTACTGCTGCAAGAGAGTTCATGAGGGATTCAGTCGTGTTTTCCTCCTCTTCAATAAACTCCTCGACCAGGTCACAAGAATTCTCAACATCTACGCTCTCTTCCTCCTCTTCATTTACAAACTCCTCGACCAGGTCACAAGACCACTCTTTATTTGCAGCCTCGTCACCTGAATCCCAACAACTTAACTCCTCACCTGAGTTCTTGTCCTCCTCTTCATTTGCAGACTCGTCATCTGAATTCCAACCACTTAACTTCTCATCTGAGCTCTCCTGAGGCTCCTGATTCTCCTCATCTGAATCCTGTGGTCTCTGTTCCTCCACAAGGAAGATCTCCTCGATCCCCTCTTCATCAGACCTGCTCTCAGGGTTAGGGTTCTTCACTGAGCCCATGGCCGGAGTGAAGAAAAATCTTCCTGATCTGTGGTTGTTCATTGTCTTATTCTAAAGAAATGACCTACTGTGAATCAGTGTAGCTGCGATTTAACAGCTTTTTGATATACCTTCACTAACAGAAACACTTGTCCTCGTTCAGTAGCAGAGTTTCAAACAGGTGAATGAGACACCAGAATCAGCCTGTGATGACATCATCAAAGGACATTTCAAATTCTATAACAGTCAACATTCCGTCTTAAAGGGCCAGTTCACCAAATTCAAACACAAAGCATTCTTTGACCTCAGCATAATTGCTTTTAAGCATTATTAAGTCATTATAAATTATTGTGATATTATTCTTAATATTCTGTTTTATAAAATCATTTTTTAAAGGTTTATTTTGGGGCTTTTTATGCGGTTATTACAAAGTCAGGACAGTGGATGGAGACAGAAATAAGGGAGAGATAGAGGGAGAGGTGATTGACATGCGGGAAAGGAGACAAGGGTTGGTTTCCTATTCGTGCCACCAAATTTGAGGACTATAGTCTCCGTACATAAAATGCGTAAAGTAACCAGTAGGCCACTGCCACCCCTTCTTCATCATTTTAGGCATAATTTCCAAATTTCTAGCACAAAAATCTTTTTGATGAATGATCTGTCATGTCCTGGTTGCATATTCACATTTAGTCAAGGAACTTCTGCCTCTAATTAATTAAACAAACTTATTTATCTTTAATTTCAGTTGTTAGTTGGAAGTCTATCCTATTTGGGAGTAGTATAGCCACAACCCTCTTACAGCCTGATTTGTGGGAGAAATAAAATGTGTTCACAAACTTTGCTTTGAGTGTGATTCATTTCCAGTGCCAGGTTACTCCTCTATTTCTCGACACGCTGCTCCGCATCCTCAACTCCTGTTGTTGTGGTTTTCAGGTCCTCCCTAATATCTCCCGGGGCCTGGTTAATCTCACGTCTGTACTCTGTCAAATCATTTTTAACATTCTCTCTTAGTGTGCGATAAAAAGCTGTCATTCTTTACATCGGCACGTATTACCTTAATGTCAATATATTAGCCAGTAAGTTAGCTCCGGTATGCTCGAGTCCACCTATGCTAGGCGAGTTAGCATTTATTTCTTTCGTCATTCTTCATGGCCATCTACTTGTTTTTCTCTGATCTTGTATTTGGTTTACATTAACAATTTTTGTGTTTCTTCCCTTCCACATACCATGAGGTGTTTTTACTTGTTAAAAAACTTGAATCTGGGGAAAATTCCTGGTTAGTGGGAGAGCAGTCTGTCAGCCTGCCATCCTCTGCAGCGTGCCAACCCAAAGCCCTCTGGAAGTTCTGCATTGTAAATATTTTATATTAAACAAGAAGGGAAAATTAAAAGGTCCAAACTTTTAACTTTTAAGCCTCCAGTTCTCTGTCAATGTTTCTCTTAGTGTCAGAGTTAGAGGCCTAATTAATCAATCCATCTTTATTTGTAAAGCACCAATTCTTAACAAGTGTTATCTGCAGACACTTTAAAACACCGAGCTGACCATAGTTGTATGACCCAACAAAAATAATAAGATATACTTTGTTGTCCCCAAAAGGACATTTATATTGGACTGGAGTTACAAGAGAATAACAAATAAAATACTAGGGCTGGGCAAGTTAACGCGCTATTTTCGCGTTAACTCATCGATTAATTATCGCTGACAATTATTTTATCTCGCATTAACGCAGTTTTTATAATTTATTTTCTTATTGTAAAAGTCTGTTGCTCACTGGCTTTTATTTTGTAAAATTCCATCGTGAGCGAGCCTAGTATGTTGCTTACTGCTGCGCGTGACTGCTGCGGCGCACACAGGAAGCAGGAAACAGTCAGAAAAGAATTGGCGGAAACAGTCAGAAAAAGAATTGGCGGAAACAGCCTGAAAAGAATTGGCGGATAATCAAGCATGGAGAAGGGTACGGAACTTTTATAAGGCCATTTTCATTTTAAAGTTCTTCCAGACGGCGCAGTCGACAGAGCCGAAGTTATTTGTAACCACTGCAAAGTTGAATTTTCTTATCACCGTAGTACTTGATAAGTAGGCTACTCCAAAATATGTTGCAGCCAGAAACTCAGGCGGACGCTAAAAGGTCGTTTCACTTGTCTTCACTTTATTTAAGCGTTTATCAAAGACCCAGTACCTTCATTCACTCTGCCTACGAGTCTCTTCAGCTGCTGAATAATAACTACAACTTTCTTGCTAACTCCATAGCGTTACAACAACAACACTCTTCTTCTCTGAACTCCTGCATGTCACTGTTTCTCACTCGCAGACTTGTGGCGTAGATTATGCAGCGCATTTAATTAATAACATGTCAACATCAACCGCTTGAATAATGTTGCAGTTCAGAAAAATACATTAACATTAGCAACTTTGAAGATGAATTCAAAAATATTATAAACTAAAGAATTTCAAAATGACAAGTACAACAAAAATGTGTTTGTGGGGTCCCCGATAACCAAACAATCAACATCAATGTTCTCAATTGACCTGTCACACTCTCCCCCACTTTAAAAATGGCGTCCCGACATTTTCATTATACCGCTTAGCCTAAAACCTTTCTGGGCAGTTTTTTTTTATATAACAAACAGGATGACATTATGCCCTTGCAATGGCAATAAGCTTTAGTTTTGTATTTATTTGCTTTGATTACATTGTTTAAGTTGAGAAGTACATTTACAATAAAAGTGCGCTATACGCTACTTTTTAATTCATTATTGGATTTTGCGTATAACAATGCGATTAATCGTGATTAATCACAGGAACTCATGCGATTAACGCGATTAAAACTTTCAATCTTTAAAACTTTTAAAAACACCTTTTTGCAGCAGTAACATATTGGCATATTGCACTGACCCTGGGCACATCCTACATTACCTGCTATTCAGAATGTTAACGGACATTGGCACAAATGAATGTTTGTAACTGTTAAAACGATAGTAAACGATGGGTCCTTCAAAAGCCGAGGCCCCAAACACATCGGCCGGAATATCACCAGTTTATTCAACACCAGTTAATCAACGACACGCAGTCAATATACCCAACACGATAAACAACTTTCTATTTATAGTACGACAATCACACAGACTATTTGTGCTGGTCAGAATAAAGATGACTTCATCAGACAGCTAGGCTAATCGCTGTCTGCGCAGATGTAACGCTAAAGTGATCACATTAAATCATACCCTTGAATCTACCCTACTGTGATTGGCTGAATAGGAAGGAGACATCTGATTGGCTACAGACATTTCCCTACAATTCTACAATTCACTTAGCAGACGCTTTTATCCAAAACGAGGTACATCAGAGAGTAAGTACAACACAAGCAAGGATCTAGGAAAGAGGGAACAATGTCAGTAAGAGCAAACGATCAGCTTTGAGTCCGATTGGACACACAGGTGCTGACAGGAAGTGACCAGAGGTGCTGACAGGAAGTGACCAGAGGCAAAGCACTACACTGATGACAGTTCTTGAGAGCTCTAATCAGTATAGAAACCATCTTAAAAGTCGTCGTTATCAAACAAAAACCATCATCACAACCATCATCATCATCAATAATATGGAGACCATCATCATTAAGTTAGTAGGTATTCATGAAAGAGCTGGGTCTTTAGCTTTTTCTTAAAGGTGCAGAGGGACTCTTCAGATCGAATGGAGTTTGGAAATTCATTCCACCACCAGGGGGCGACAGAGGAGAAGAGTGTAGTTAGAGACTTAGGACCCTGTTGTGAAGGTTGGATCAGACGCCTTTCATTGGCAGAGCGTAGTGGGGCGGGAGGGAGTGTAGACCTGGATCAGAGACTTAAAGTAAGGAGGAGACGTTTTTGTCGCTGTTTTGTAAGCGAGCAGCAGAGTTTTAAATTTGATGCGAGCAGTAACTGGGAGCCAGCGTAAGGAGATGAACAGCGGAGTGACATGTGCTCTTTTAGGAAGGTTGAAGATCAGTCGTGCTGCTGAAAAAAATGCATTTGTGAATCTAACCACGGCAGGGGAGTCTCAAAAATCCCACACACAAATGCAGTGAGGTTCACAAATGACAAAACAGTTTGTAATCTAAAAAATGTGTTTTTTAAATATATATGTATATCATATATTTGTGGATTTCTATTAGCCTACATATAAAACTATAAATATTTGTGTGTGAATCAGAAATACATTTGTGAATCCTTCATGAATGTTGAGACTGATCTAACTCCATACAAATAGAATATAAATATAGGAATAACATTAAAATAAAGATAAAGGTACAATTTATTTACAACGAGTTTTGGACCCTATCCTACAAGCGGTTCTCAAAGTTGGTGTTAAGGTCGGCGGATCGTAGCTATGGAAACGAGTGACCGTCGCACAATGATGACACAGTTTGTTGACGTTGACGTCAGAGACGGCGACACTACCTGTAGACGTAACGGAGCCGTAGAGGCAGCAGGTCGCTGGCATTTCCTCGTTAGCTCTGATGAATGTGCTCTTTATTCGTTGTACTAACACAGAATACATCAATGTGAGGATATAAAACGTGTTGGGTAAGTTTGTAATGCATTAGTCAGGCAGTTATCACGCATGTCCTGCCGAGCCTAGCCTTTAGCTTTTAGCTCAATAACGGAGATGTGTCTGAACCAGGAAGCAGCTCGTTGTGATCACCCAGAGGGACTCAACACCTGCCGTTCACCTGTTCTTTAACTCACCTCTCGTTGGTTCAAAGGTGTTCTCAGAAACGTGGACTGCCTCCGAACTGTTTACAGCATGTTGAACATCCCGACCCAGGCGTTCCCTGCTCCGGGATCCCAGCAGCGGGTCTCCCCGTCCGGACAGTCCGGGAGGAACAAGGTGAGACATGACCCTGGTCCTAGTCCTAGTCCAGGAGGAACAAGGTGAGACATGACCCTGGTTTTAGTCCTAGTCCAGGAGGAACAAGTTAGACATGACCCCGGTTTTAGTCCTAGTCCGGGAGGAACAAGTTAGACATGACCCTGGTGCTAGTCCTAGTCCGGGAGAAACAAGTTAGACATGACCCTGGTCCTAGTCCTAGTCCGGGAGGAACAAATTAGACATGACCCTGGTTTTAGTCCTAGTCCAGGAGGAACAAGTTAGACATGACCCTGGTTTTAGTCCTAGTCCGGGAGGAACAAGTTAGACATGACCCTGGTTTTAGTCCTAGTCCGGGAGGAACAAGTTAGACATGACCCTGGTTTTAGTCCTAGTCCGGGAGGAACAAGTTAGACATGACCCTGGTTTTAGTCCTAGTCCAGGAGGAACAAGGTGAGACATGACCCTGGTCCTAGTCCTAGTCCGGGAGGAACAAGTTAGACATGACCCTGGTTTTAGTCCTAGTCCAGGAGGAACAAGGTGAGACATGACCCTGGTCCTAGTCCTAGTCCTAGCCATCGTATCTTAATGAAAACGCCTTCATATCGTGATAAAAATGCCATTCATGTTTCTACCGGGTCCCTTTAAGTTTGGTCAAATCACACGTCACATAGTGGATTTAAACAAACAGCTGTTCTCCATCAGAATGTTATAATCCAAGTTTAACCCTTTGAACAACATCAGGTGGCCTTGAAGCCGGGACACAGTCTAATGGACTGGATCCGCTTCACCAAGAGTGGAAAGGACCTGACGGGGCTCAGAGGACGTCTGATTGAAGTCACACAGGACGAGCTGCAGAAACACAGCACGAGAGATGACTGCTGGACCTGCATACGAGGTGAGCCTACCTGACACATGCATTTGTGAATCCCACACACAAATGCAGTGAGGTTCATAAATGACAAACAGTTTGTAAATGCAGACTGAACAGTTTATATATAAATGTAACAAGATACAAATGTGCTTTTTAAATATATATTATATATTTGTGGATGTCTATTACATCGTGAATACGTGAATTACACGTGAATATGAGACTGAACTCCATATATTTAGTACTCATTTGCATGCTCTTCATGTCTTGTTGTCGCGGCAACACTTGAATTTCCCCACTGGGGATCGATAAAGGATTAACATATCTTATAATGGACACAACAAATGGCCTAACACACCTGTAGATAAACTCACCTGTAAATAAACTGTTGAAAAAAGATGCTTTAGATCCACTCTGACTAAAATCATCCTCCTCCTCTTCCTCCTCCTCCTCTCTCTGGCTTTCAAATGACATGGTGAAAAGGTGTGATTTCACTCTGCATGTTGTTTGTTTACAGGTAACCAGGAGGTTTACCCATGAGCCAAATCCATCTGTGAGAGCCACACGGCTAGCTACCTGTGAGAGTCACACGGCTAGATACTTGTGAGAGTCACACGGCTAGCTACCTGTGAGAGTCACACGGCTAGCTACCTGTGAGAGTCACACGGCTAGCTACCTTTGAGAGCCACACGGCTAGATACCTGTGAGAGCTACGCCTGTGACATCCATCAGAAAACTGGAGGTGTGATTTTCATGGATTAACTCTGCTAAGAGGATTTGAGAGCTTTAAAGCTCCATATGCTCCTCATACAGACAGAGCCAATCACCCTGACCTGTTTGTTTGTTTGTTCTTGTTTCCTGCATTCATAGATATGCATGTCGTTACAAATAAACAGTAAAATCATAAAAACATTAAAGATGATGAAAGACAAGAAAAGGAATTACAAGTTTAAGGCTCAGAGCATTTGTTCTCATCCTCCTTTCTCTCTCCTCCTTTTCCTCCTCTCTCTCCTCCTCTCTCTCTTCCCCTCTCTCTCCTCCTCTCTCTCTCTTCCCCTCTCTCTCCTCCTCTCTTTCCTCCTCTCTCCTCCCCTCTCTCTCTTCCCCTCTCTCTCCTCCCCTCTCTCTCTTCTCCTCTCCTCCTCTCTCTCTCCTCCTCTCTCTCTTCCCCTCTCTCTCCTCTCTCTCTCTTCCCCTCTCTCTCCTCCTCTCTTTCCTCCTCTCTCTCCTCCCCTCTCTCTCTTCCCCTCTCTCTCCTCCCCTCTCTCTCTTCTCCTCCTCTTCCTCCTCTCTCTCCCCTCCTCTCCTCTCCGTTTCCGTTTCCGTTTCCGGTTTCCGGTTTCCGGTGAGTGTGAGTGTGAGTGTGAGTGACGGTGGTGGTGTTGCGAGTGGCGCGGAGATTGAATCGTTTGCTATCCTTTCTACTGTTTTCAAAGTGCACGATCAGGTCAGATTGTTTTCATATTTGTATTGAGTGTTGTTGGCTGTGTAAGACAGATCGTTGGAGGGGTTGGAGGGAGGACTCTCCGACAGGGAGTTCGGATAGTCCCTCCGAACGGTACTGTCACCGTGGAGGAGGTTCTGTTAGCTGCAGGTGAACAGGTAGGCCATGATAAACTCTTGTATGCATCCCGAATGAACAAGGCTGTGGTTGTTTTTCTGAAGAGTGAGCCTCTTGTGTATCAGCTGATTGAGAGTGGTGTGTTCATTAGGGATTTGTTTGTGCAGGTTTCCCCGTTGTCGGTTCCCTCTACGCGGATCACCGTATCCGGTGTTCCGCCGTTTATTTCTAACAACTTGTTAGAGAACGAACTCCGCAGGTTTGGGAAGTTTGCGAGTGGTTTCAAAACTGTGAGTCTAGGGTGTAAAGATCCCAAACTGAAACATGTTCAATCTTTGCGGCGTCAGGTGTTCATGTTTTTGGATTCGCCCACACAGACTCTGGAGGTTTCCTTTAGAGTGAAACACGGTGACGCTTCTTATATGGTGTATGCGAGCTCGGGACAACTGAAGTGTTTTGAGTGTGGTGATGTGGGACACAAACGTTTTGCGTGTCCGCACAGACAGCAGGAGGCGGCTAGTGCTGCCGCTGACGCGGGCAGCTCTGTTAGTGTGGCGCATGTGGCGGGGGCCGCGTCCGCGTCCGTGCTCGGGGCGGAGGCCGCGTCCGCGCCCGCGCCTGGGGCGGAGGCCGCGTCCGCGTCCGTGCCTGGGACGGGGGCCGCGTTCGTGCCCGTGCCTGGGGCGGAGGCCGCGTCCGCGTCCGTGCCTGGGGCAGAGGCCGCGTCCGCGCCTGCGCCTTGTGCTGAGGCCGTGGCTGAGGTAGAAGTGGCTTCGACCAGCTCTCAGGCTACAGAAAAATCACAGACTGTAGATAATGATAAAACTGAAGATTCCACAAGTTCTGCAGTTGTAGATGTTTCATTGAAGGAAGGTAAGACAGTGTGTTGTAGCCAGGCATCATGTGAAGGAGAGGACATGGATGAAGATTATGAGTCAGACAATGCATCCATTGCTGATTTGCCAAATAGTGGCTCTGGTCTTTATTCTTTAGAGTCAATCAATCAATTTATGGATGAAACGTACAACAAATCAGTAAAAATAAGTGACTACTTTAGTGATACTGAAAAGTTCATAAAGTCAGTCAGCATACTGAAAAGACAGGTTGGGTTTGACCTCCTGGACGCGAAAAAACGGTTCCGTCTTAAAAAGCACATCACCGCACTGAGGAAAGTTGGACGTAAGAGTGTGAAGAAGACAAAGAAATGATCATGCATCACAAGGTGTTTTTCTTCTTCTACTGTTCCCTGTTTGTGTCTACTTGTCTGTTCTTTCTCTCTGATCTTTCTATGAGGAGTCTTAAGATAGGATCTCTTAACATTAATGGTGGGAGAGACAGACAGAAAAGGGGCCTTATCTCTGAGATCTCAACTCAGAAAAACATTGATATCTTGTTTTTACAAGAGACTCATACCACACCATCAGATGAGACAGATTGGGGTTTATGGTGGGAGGGCTCTAACTACCTTAGCCATGGCACCAACTTAGTGCAGGAGTAGCCATTTTGTTTAGAGCATCTGCAAATGTAAAGATCGTCTCTTGTGCTGAAATTGTAAAGGGAAGGCTTTTAATTGTAAGAGCAGAAATAGAGGACACTGTTTTCTGCTTCACTAATATTTATGCTCCAAATAATGGAGCTGAAAGGGTAGCTTTCTATACCCGCCTCCAAAAGGAGTTACTGATCTATAATCAGGATCAGATCATTCTTGGTGGTGATTTTAACTGCACACTTGATTTCACCGTGGATAGAATAGGAGAGGAGCCACATCCACATTCATCCCAGACTTTAAACACTGTCATCTCTCACCTGGATTTGTTGGACACATTTAGAGTGAAACATCCACAATCCAGACAGTATACATGGGTCAGGGTTAACAGTAACAGGGTGTGTGCAGCTAGACTGGACAGGGTTTACATCTCCAGAACTCTCAACCCCAGATTAATTCATTGTAATATTCTGCCTGTCGGCTTCACTGATCACCATTTTGTTAGTGTGGAGCTGATTATTTCACCAGGTGAAAGGGCTAAGTCCTTCTGGCATTTTAATAACAAGCTTCTACTGGACAATGTTTTCTGTAAAAACTTTGGGTGTTTTTGGGATCAGTGGCAATTAAGAAAAGTTGAGTTTGATTCTTTGAAGCTTTGGTGGGAGGTTGGTAAAGCTCAGATTCGTGTTTTTTGTCAGCAGTACACGTCACACTCTTCTGCTAGATTAAAAACAGTCATTAAAAATCTTGAGGACAGCATTAAGAACCTTGAGGAGGGGTTAAATGGGAGTGTGGATCCCACCACTGGTACCCTGCTGAAGGAGAAACGTATGGAGTTGAGCTCTTTCCTGCAGGAGAGGGTGAAGGGAGCTCTTGTGCGGAGTCGTTTCCTTCAACTCAAAGACATGGATGCCCCAACGTCTTTCTTTTTCAATCTTGAGAGATCTGTGGCTCAAAAAAAGCTGCTGACTTGTCTGAAACTGCCAGGAGGTCGAATAACAGCTGATCCAAAGGAAATGAGGATCTGTTTGGAGCAGAGAGTTGCAGCCAGGAGTGTCGCAGGGAGCTCCTGGAGGGTCTCCCTCAGCTCAGTGTGGAGGAGAGGTCTCTTCTGGAAGGGGAGCTGTCTCTGGAGGAGCTCACTGCTGCTGTCACTCAGATGGCAACAGGAAGAGCACCTGGAATAGATGGGTTGTCCACAGACTTTTTTAAGAGGTTCTGGAATATTCTTGGGTCTGACCTGCATAGTGTTTTAATGGAGTGTTGCAGGACCGGGTCTCTTCCTGGTTCTTGTAAGAGAGCAGTTCTTTCCTTGCTCCCCAAGAAAGGTGACCTGGCATTGTTAAAAAACTGGAGGCCGGTTGCTTTGCTTTGTGCGGACTACAAGATCCTCTCCAGAGCTTTATCGAACAGACTAAAGGACGTTCTGGGAAGTGTGGTCCATAAAGACCAGAGTTACTGTGTTCCAGACCGGACAATCATGGATAATGTTTTTCTTATCAGAGATGTCATTGATGTGTGTAAAATCTATAATCTAAATGTTGGCATTGTGTCTCTGGATCAAGAGAAGGCGTTTGACAGGGTGGATCACTCGTATTTGTTTTCTGCACTGAGGTCTTTTGGTTTTGGGGATGGTTTTGTGTCATTAGTTGGTTTGTTGTATCAGGATGCACAGTGTTTGGTGAAGATGGGGGCGGGGTTGAGTCGGCCAATCCCTGTACGGCGAGGGATCAGACAAGGTTGTCCCATCTCCGGCCAGCTGTACAGCTTGGCTATTGAGCCCTTGCTGTGCAGGTTGAGGGACCGGCTCAGCGGGCTTTCTTTGCATTGAATGTCCCCCTACAATTTCTGCCTATGCTGATGATGTAAACATCTTCATCTCCAATCAGGGGGACGTTCGGTGTCTGCGGGACACCCTGTCCCTGTATGAAAGGGCAACAGCTGCACGGGTGAACTGGGAAAAAAGTGGTGCCTTATTGGTGGGAGAGTGGAGGGACCAGGCAGTGCCCAGTCTGCCGGGTGGACTTGAGTGGGGGAGGGAGGGGTTGAAGGTGTTGGGGGTTTATTTGGGTACCGAGGGCTTTAAAAGTAAAAACTGGGAGGGAGTTAGGGAGAAAGTGTGCGCTCGGTTGTCTAAATGGAAATGGTTGCTACCCCAGTTGTCGTATAGGGGAAGAGTTCTGGTGGTCAATAACTTGGTTGCCTCGACTCTCTGGCACAGACTTGTGGCTTTGACACCTCCAAGAGGGCTGGTGGAGGACATTCAAAGGGCCATCCTGGACTTCTTCTGGTCAGGCAAACACTGGGTCCAGGCGGCAGTCCTCTACCTGCCGGTGGCTGAAGGGGGACATGGACTTATAGACATTCAGTCAAAAATTGCCTCATTCAGACTCCAGACTGCACAGAGACTCCTTTTCACTTGTGGTCCCAGCTGGATGGACATCGCTCGACTGCTGCTGAGGAGAGCTGGACGGCTGGGGTACACTAAGCAGC